TCTGGATTTGAAGGAGTTTAGAGAAGGTGACTCTCTGATATCCTTGGGGAGAGAGTTCCAGAGCTTGGGGGCATAACTGGAGAAGGCTCTGTCACCCACAACATGTAGACAGGCTTGGGGGACAGTAAGGAGAGCAGAATTTGAAGAGCGGATGTTGCGAGGTGGGGAGTAGGGCGAGAATAGTTCAGACAGGTACGGAGGTGCCAAGCCATTCAGAGCCTTATAGGTGAGCATGAGAATTTTAAAGTCTACATGGAATTTGACAGGAAGCCAGTGCAAGGATTCCAGGACAGGAGTAATGTGAACACTTGCACTAGACCTGGTCAGGATTCTGGCTGCTGAATTTTGGACATACTGCAGTTTGTTCAGAGTAGATTTTGATACCCCTGCGAGTAGAGCATTACAGTAGTCAATTCGAGAGAATACAAATTTGTTGATCAGCTTTTCAGCCACAGTTGATGATAGCATAGGGCGTAGTCTTGTGATATTTCTAAGGTGAAAAAAAGATGTTTTGACAGTATGCTGCACATGTGGGTCGAATGTTAAGCCAGAATCGAATATAACCCCAAGGTTTTTCAATTTTGATTGAAGCTGAAGTACAGCACCATCTACAGAAAGGGTTACAGGACTGGCTTTAAGAAGTTGATGGGGGGTACCAATAAGTATGACTTCAGTCTTGTCGCGGTTGAGATGAAGGAAGTTTTGAGTCATCCAAATTTTTATGTCAGAGATGCAATTAGATAGAATAGAGACAGCCACGTCAGTGTCAGGTTTGGTTTGGATGTATATTTGAGTATCGTCAGCGTAAAAATGAAAGCTGAGGCCATGTGATCTTAAAAGCTGATTAAGTGGAAACATGTAAATGCTGAAGAGCAAGGGGCCCAGTATTGAGCCCTGAGGAACACCAGACTTAACAAGACCAGTTTCAGACCTGTACCCATTAAGAGAGACAAGGTGTCAGCGATCAGTGAGGTAAGATTTGAACCATTTGAGGGCAGTGTCTGCATGAATAGCATGGATAGCTTTTCATGCTATTCATGCAGACTGCAGACTGCACGAATAGCTTTTCTGTGGCTGCAAAAATGGGCCTCATTTAGGAAAGCACAGCAACACTTAATTCTGTCTTATTAAGGAACATTGCCGCTACAATAGGGTACATAGTATTTACTATTTTTTTAAAGTATTTGTTACAAGGAAAATTTGTGCCGTAAGCGAGTATTGAACCTGGATCGTCTAGACAGAACCTCTATTGACATTCTAAAGTAATCATGCGTGAATGAGTCGAATTAAAAATAAAACATGTTTAAAAAGAAAGTGGATTACAGTAATACATATATTTATATCCTTCAATTAATATCGTTATTAATTTCTTTAGATAAGCGATTCCATATTATATTCCTTATTTAGCGTATTCTAAAAAGTATGAGGTTTTTTACTGTGATAACGAGTGCAAGTATTCATAGAAAAGGTTAAAATATTATAACATTTTATGAAGTAAATAAACTTTATAGTTCAGGAGCCAGGAGCACTTAAAACCTTTTCCAAATTAACCGCAGTATCTTACCGAATAAAAGACCTTGATGCTTAAAATGTTTATGAAGAAAGTGGAATACTGGTGTGTATTTTTTATTTAAAGTACCAATCGCAGCCATATTACATAATATGTTTATGTCCCCAAATTAATATTGTTTATGACCTTCAGACACATTATGCTCCTCTTTTTTTTATGCTCAGCTACAAAAAATTCCCTTTAGTTGTAAAATTCCATATTAATATTCAATAAGAGAACTTAAACATGCTTAGTAAAGAGATTAAATGAAGCAATCTTTTCACTAACAATCAATGTACCACGTGTGCCGCCTGTTGGTCATTTTGGCCAGCCAGTCCCGTACTGTGGGATAACCTGTTGAACTGTAGATAACTTTGTGCGGTACAGTGTTTTACTGTGTATTTTAAATGGCTGCATCTGTAGTAGGACAGTTAGATCAATTGATATGTGCCAGTGTAGTCAGTGGCCTGATATGACATGTATAAAAACTGAAAGCCTTTTCAAATTTGTCTTCTTGAGAACTACTTCATCAGTCGTACTAAAATTGGGTTGATTTAATCAATGACCAAAGTTAATATATAATAGCAGCCATATCACCCTACAACTCACGACTACCAACCCACTGAAGCTAAGCAGGTGTGAGCCTGGTCATTACCAGGATGGTAATTACTCAGGATTTCTCCTGAGAAAAGGTCCTAATGTGGTGGGTGCTGCACATTGGTAGTGGTGGAGGGGAGTCCCCACTGCCTGTAAAGCACTTTGAGTGGAGTGAAGGTCTGCACCTCAACTTGTGGTCTTAATTGTTCTGTCCACATGGGACATACCTTCTTGTATATATTGCAAACAGCTTCAAGTTGGATATTGTTTGGCTTAACGATAGTAATTAACTATACTCTATAGATATAATTCTAGTAACCACACAATTATAGTATGGCGTAGTGGTTTTTCTACAAAAATCATTGATTGCTGCTTTACAGCCACAACCCATTCTAGTTGATACACTGCCCATACTACAAAGTGTTTATGTTTAATCATATTAAAACATATTACTTTGGTAGATCTGGTAGATATAACAATATAGTTACAAAACAGTTATGTTTACCGTTGCTTCTCATAAATAGAACTCAAAGTTTCCTCTTCAGTATCTCTTAAAATGCAATTTTAGGAATTGTAAGGCTCTGCATTTGTATTACAAATACAAATGAGCCATGTTTTGGTTTTGTTAGCACAGTGACTGATCAAGTATGTATGTTCTCTTACAGCTAGCAGCCTACAGAGCCCCTACAAAAAACTTAAAGAAGCCTTATCTTCAGTTGAAGCCTTTGAAAAACACTACTTAGTAAGTATGCTGAAGTGAATACTCGATGTGTTAATTTCTTCTTATGGTATAGTTTTATTGTATTTATTTTAGTATAACCCTTAGCAATATACTGAATCGGGTAAAGAGACACAACATTTCAACCTTTGTCAAGTGTCACACCTGAAAAAGGCTCCAGAGCCGAAACATTGTGTCTCTTTTCTTTTCCTTTCAGCATGGCATAAACCTTTACCTGTTCCCTTACAGCCTACACATGCTGACGCATCTACCTACTTGAATATACAGAATCCTCTTATACTCTCACATAGTAACATTATATATATATGTCTGTGTTTTTTTCTTAAATCATGCTTCATTGTTGAGAATAGAAACAGGTAATGTTTTTGGTAAATGTATCAAATTTCTGAATGAGCTTAGCTATTTATACCTTTATTTTAGAGTGATGCTAGTCTTTCCAAATTGAGTATTCTTGGTCTATAAACCTTGGTTTATAAACAGAACACTTTTAAGGAATTAATAGTTATTTTATTACACAAATAACTTACATTTCTATGTTTATAAATGTAACCTATATTTCTTCCTCTGATGTTTTGTACCCTCTCTGTAACAGGAGCTTTCGCATGCTGCAATGGAAATGTATAAAACAATTGGTCGGATTCGATCTGCAAAACTGTTGGGAAAGAGTTTGGCTGAGTTTTACATGTAAGAGACTTTTTAATGCAAGAGTTACTGAAGTGAAAAACCTTGACATTTCATGTGAGCCTGCTGATATTTGAAGTTTTTCTTCTTTCTCTGAATTTATTTGGATGCCATTGCAATGGGTTCGCTTGACTCTGTCAATGAGGAATTGTTACGAAAATATTCTCATGAAAAATAATTATGAAAGATATGTTTATCTGTACTGTCATTAAAATACTCACTTTTATATAAGTTAGAAATCTCTTTCAAAATTCACAGATACATAGTTTAAAACCATTTTTAACATGTACCTATTTTCTGTTCGTTACTTGACGCTATAAGTGGTTTGGGTTCTGGACTGGTAGCTAGAGTTGTGTATTCAAAACCCAGGGAAAGCACTGCTCTGCTGTTGAGCAAGATACTATACTATGGATTGCTCCAGATAAAAGCTTATCTATATAACAATTCATATAAATTTAAGTTGCATTACATAGAAACATCAGTCAGATAAATTAAAATTAAAAGAAAATTAGCCTCATTATATCCTTCAGGTTGTTTTTTTACTTTTATTTGCACTTTTGTAGTCAAAAACCAGCAGTGGTTAAGATTTTTGTTAACAACATTCACCTTGTTTTCTGTCTACTGTACAAATGCTGCTCACTGTGGATTTATGGTTTCTGCAGGAGGAAGAGTGACCCCAAGAAAGCAGAAGCTTTATTTCAGGACTCCCTGAAGACATACTTGGCAGAGGGCTGGGCTCTGCCAGTCACCCACACCCGGAAACAGATAGCAGAGTGTCAGAAACTGCTGGGTCAGACTGAAAGGTATCCTTTTGCTTATGCAATGTGGACACAATCAAATATTCTCCCAAAACTTCACATAGCAACAGAAAATAAATCATACATAATAGCACTGTTTAAGTAATATCTACAACACACTTAGAACCAAAACATTTAAAACCATACAGAAACTGTGTCTGGAAACAACGGAGAGTTTAGATTTCATTTTCTGATATGTTCCATTCTTACCTACTCTAATGTAATGTTTGTTTTGCAATATTGCTGCTTTTGTTTCCATCAGTAATAGAACCCATTAAGCTGTTGCTATTTGGAGCCTAGCTTAGTATTGACGAGAGTCTAATTGTAACAGGTACTTTGTCTCTTTCTTGCAAGTTGAAAAAGACAGGTGAGGTAATTTTCTTTGTTATAGCACTGTATGTTCTTTGAGAAAGCTTCTAGTGAAAATGGAATGACCTGAGTGAGCTGTCTCTTTCTCAGATTATGTGAAATAATTTTGGTAGAAAAACAGTTCATTTGGTCCTAGGATGTTAAAAACATATTTTAACTTTTGTTGTAAACATATATGATGATTAAGTAAAATAGTGATATACCCTTGAAGACACTAGGAACTGTTTTTTTCTGTGCCCCACTCTGCCAGTTACCTTCAGACAAGTTCCCTTTTAGCCAGTGATGGCAATCTCTCAGATGAGGAGAGGAAGCACTTCTGTCAAGAGATCCTGAACTTTGCCTGCCAACAGTCAGACAATCAAGGTGACATGACTAAAAAGCAGACGATACTGGTATTGATACTGATACTGACTCCAATGTTGGAATCCTAAATAGAAGTCAGATTATTCAAAAGAACATCTCACTTGCTATTATAAAAATGTTTAGTAAACCTACATTGTCAAATATTTAGTTTAAAATGCGCTATTTGTTAAAAAGACATTTGATGCTCAAGATCATGGGGTTTCACTATATATGTGCAGTAGCTATTTGGGCTTTTTATGTGTTGCTTCAGAAAAAGCCATTTTTTCTTTATTAGTTTATTACATAAATGGTAAAATTGTTTGATAATGAAATTAGAGTTTAAATTTGAATGTCATATTACCTCTAACAGTTTTTTGTTCAGAGACTGTTTTTTGTTTTCATGCAGTCATATAATCATGAAATCATTACATGAAGGCAAACATGAATCAGGAAGATATTGCAATCAGGAACATAGAGAGTTTGGTCTAATAGTGTGATCTTCACTTGCTTTCCTGCACAGTCCAGAAAGTGGTGTTGGGCATGAGCTCACTTGCCCAGCTACAGCATCTGCTCTTCACCCCTACCTCGGCAGTGGTGCATGTGGGAGGCCAGGTGGCACTGGAGCTGAGTCTGCACAGCAACATGCCCATGCCAGTACATCTGGAGCAACTTGCAGTCAGTGTGCACTTCAGCATCGAGAGGAGCAGCATTCGTGAAACTGGGGATGTGCTGGGCAAGCAGCGGACAGGTGGTGTCAACAGTGGCATCATCCACTTTCCTGGGGAGTTGCCAGCTGGCTGTTTGCCTCGCACCAGCCCTCCCGTACTAGAATTGGATGAGATGCATGATAGAAGCCCTTCAGACAATGCACTGAACTCCTCTGGTGTGGTCTGCAAGAACGTGCACCTTCTGCTGCGGCGCAGGGAGAGTGTCTCCTCCCTCGAGACCCCTTCAGGAGTGGCAGTAGAGGATAGTGCCCAGATCCTCAGAACCAACGATGTTTTGCTGCTGCCAGGCAGGAACAAGATTTTGTTCACAGCACCAGTAAGCCCTACTTTCATTGTCATATCTAAACAGTGGTGATAAAATTGGACAAATAAAGTCTGGGCAGTAATAACTTGCTGTTCCTGGTAAGGCATTCATAAGGGAGACTGAGTAACCTTTGCCCTTCTTAGGACTGCCTGAAGTAAGCAAATATAATTCTTAGGCTTCACCACAATAAAGTTATACTTTTTTGTGTCTCGGTGTAGTCACTCATTGCTGAAAGCATAAATGACCTGTAATGCACAGTACAGTGCAGACAATTTTTGAATATTAAAAAAATGTAATCTTAATTTTCCCAGCAAGATATACTGTATAATACAGTTTAAAAAAGTATTTTGAGATTGTGTTGGAATTTAGAACACTGGAAGTGCTTAAATGGTCACCACAAAGTCATGACAGGAATCTGACTTAGCCCATATGGGATTACCCCTAGAAACCAAGCAAATTTAGACTAAAGGAATTTTTACAAGAAATTTGTTATTAAATTATTGCAGCACAACTTCATTCATGCTTTAAAAATTAAAATATATCAGAAAATACATCAGAAAGTGGAATAAGATAAAAATATATAGGAATATATTTTTTACATTGTTTTGCAATATATTTGTGACAGTTTGTATAAAAATGATGTGCACTGTTAAATAAAGACAATATTATTATTGAAGAGATAAGGGAGACACCTGGGAAGTGAGATGATAATATCATTTTTTGTGTGATCATTTTTGTATTTTTGCAAACTGTGCAGTCTAGTGGCTTGAAGTTGGCTTTTCGCCCAAATATATAAAGATGCTGCCTGTCCTTGGTCAGTAACATAAAGGGCATGTATTTGGTAAGCTGGCTGTATGTCCAGAACATGAAAAGAACTAACTGTTGTCTAGTCTGCAGCTCAGGTATAATTAATAGCAATATTGGCATGTGTTGCTGTCTTATCATTCGTTCAGAATGTGACGTAGTAACTTGTTTGTTTTAAGGTATAAAATACCATCTTTAGTTACTTATTTTTGATTCTGGTGGTTGCAAGCCAGACTTCCATATGCATATGAAATGAAGAGACTTCTGCCTTACAGGCACCTGAACTTTGTCATTTGTATGATACAACAGTATACAATATAGTTATAAGAAATGATGACAGTAATGTAGTTATATTTCATTTAAAATTCCTTTCTAATAATTTTTATACTGCAATATAGATATACAGTATCTGGATAGCTGCTGTGCAGCACCATTAATTAACCAGAATGATTTAAAAAAGATCTAACAATTCCTGTCCTCTTGATTAAAATTCCATCTCACAAAGAGAAGTGAACTTCACAACAGAACATTTATAACTAAAGGCTGTTGTTTATTTTCTTTCATTATTTAATTTTGTTCATAATAATAAGTTAATCTTTTCAGAATAAATAGGCATCTTCTGAATGGCCCGGCTCAATTGACCAAATCTTGGTTTAATCTTCTCAATGCATGCCACAGCAGGCTTTTATGCACTTTTCCAAATCATATTTCCTGATGAGTGAAATTGTGAAACATATTTAATTTTTTTAGCATGTTCATAGTTTTGTCTAGTGGAATACTGAAAATTGATACTGATCGTACATTCTAAACCCTTATTCACTACTCATTGATAATTGATTAGTCATTCTATGTAGCTGAGTTCACAAGGAATTTTATTTCAGCATGAAAAAATAGAGATGTGTCTTTCAGCTGTGAACCTGCAGCTTCTATTTTCACATAGAATTTCACACATGCTTCCCTATCCCTGTTCAGAGCAGAGCTAATCTCTATTTTACTTGCATTATCCAAATCTATTTCTTGCCAGAGTCGAGAACCTGGGACATACACCCTGCGGCAGCTGAGAGCCACAGTGGGCCAAGTACGTTTTGTTCAGCACCACATCTACCCCATTGTGCAGTATGAGGTTTACTCTCAGGAGCCACAACTCAAAGTGGAGCCACTCACAGGTGAGCCCACACCTACCCTTGACTTCCATTCACTTTGAGACAGGTATAAGATTTATGTGATTGCTTTATGGTGTTTAGTCAATGTTGCTTATTTGAATGCCGGTAATTTCAGAAAAAGCTTGAATTCACTTGAGCTTCAATGCTTGAATTCACTTGAGCCACCTTGTTTTAAAAGTTTGTTTCAGAAGAATCTTGTTTTCTGTCCTGAAAATTGCAAATCTTGATTTTCCCATGTATCCCCAGATCCTTATCATTATCATCTTGAAGTCCGTGTCATTATGTATCTTGAAGATATCCTCCGGATTTGAATTTCAAGATTTTAAATGTCTGTATCATAAGCAAATTTTCTGTGTTCCAAGCTAAACATGTTAATATAAAATCAATCAAAAATGTTTTATATTGAATATACTGTAATATATGATTATTTTACATTTTTACGGGTGCTTACATCTGAGTTGATTTGTTAACCTCTGTATTGCTGTTACAGATGTCCTGTTGGCAGGTGTTCCCCAGAGGGTGAAGTTCACTATAGTCACAGGCCACTACTCCATTAAGAAGGGAGATGCGCTGCAGCTGAGCAACAATGATTCTATGCCAATACTGCACTCCACTGACTGCACCGCTACAATTATGTCCAATACTGGAGGTCATTCAGTAACATTCTTATAAGGCAAACTACATGCTCATTTCTGTTAATCACATTTTAACTGCAGGCCAGGTTACAAGAGAACGCATTCCCAAAAACTATGTTGCCTTTAGACACACGTGTTTTGTAGAAAACTAGTGTTTCCTGCAGAAGAGCTGAACCAGTTCAGGGAACCACATTCTTTTCCTAGTAATAAAAATCAACTTCAATTTATCTTGTTCTTAAAATAGAATGTTACAGGTCATTGTCCAAAAATTCAGAAGTTATCTCTGAAAGATTAAACACTCATGTACCAAACAAACACGTAATGACCAGTAAGTATTTTCAAAAGGTCAAATATCCTTTATATAATTATCCTTATATAAAGTGATTTCATTACATGTAGGAAGGGGTTTTGATGGATAAGAGTGAAAGGAACTTGACAGAAATTTATATTTCATATTTATGATTTATTTTTTTCATTAGAACCACTGGCTCTAGGTATTAGTGTGTTGGCAATGTTACATTTGAAATACTGAGGTTGAAAATTCTCTGCAACTGGCTTTGCCAATTTGTATTTGTATTTTTAAAAAGGGGGAGACAAATAATTGCTAAGCTTGGAGCTGAAGACAGCTTCTAGGAAAGGTTAACATTGCACTTAACCTTGCTTTTAAATAGTGTGTGCTCAGAGTCTGGGCACAGTTCTAGTCGAGAGAGACAGGAACTATGGACTATAAAAGCCTCAACATTTAAATACAGTATTACACATGCTGTTTGTTTATCTGTTACTGTTGCTGCTTGTTCAAAGAACACTATCAGGTTGGTCAGGCAAGACCAGCCTTTTCAAATCCATGTTTGGAAACTATTCCCTAGTATCTGACTTTCATACTGGGTTATCCTCTAGTTCTAATAATTGTTTCCATTGCATTAAATGTAATTACAGTCATACTGTCATTTAGTTAAGTTTGTTTGTCCTTCTGATGGATTGGCACTACATTAGCAATTTTTTCCGGTCCGTGAGTACTACCCTTGTCTTGAGTAATTTTTAGAAGAGTGTTTTTTCAGGTATATATTGTAGACTTCTTTTTAGTGAGCTCCTGAGTAAAATTCTTGTTTAGTACACCAATCTTTTCCTTGCATTGCCTAGGCATTTTCAATTATCCCTTATATTTTGCTTCCCCATGTTTTGCTTCATCATTGATAGTTCTTTTGCTGTTGTAGTACTATTTTTTTATTTTTGCCTTCATTGTGATATTCATTTTAAGTTGTCTTAAATATTTTTATCTGCACTTGAAGTTCATTGTACATATTTACTTTAACTGGGTTTTGTTTTTTAATCATTTTACAGAGCTTTTAAACTGTCTCGTTCCTTCAGAGTATTTGTGGGATATGTATTATACAGTTTAAAAAAATAAAAAATTCTAAACTCAAAAGTGGAAGCAAGGGCTGTACATAAATCAGATTGTTTGGGAATATCAGCTTATGTCTGTTCAAACCTCAATTACACTATTTATTTAAACAGCCATCTGTCATTTCCTTTTCACTTTTAGTTCAAAATAAAGAAAATGATTTAAATTGCCTATTATATGCTCCCCACAGTTTCATTTGACTTTTATTATAGTTGATGATGTTACTTTGCTTTTTAAAGCTTTTGAAATACACCTAGTTATCCTTGTAAAATGTAAAAGAAAAAGTAGCAGCTAGGGGCTGATAGACTTCATATGTCAAATCTGCCACACCATGCATTTCAGAAGCATAGCCATAATGAAAGCTCAAAAAGTAAACTGTCAGGATACATCATCCTTCTTTATATCTCCATTTATTCTAACATGAAAAGCCAGCAAACATAATGAAAGGCAATAACAGTAGTGAGAATTTCTGCATTTTGAGTTTTTACTACTCACTAAGTGAAGGACATTTTTAAAAGGATTGAAAAATGCAACTGATAACGTTTTGTCTTTAATGGTTTTTTATAGAGAGAGTGGGAGAGAATGGTCTTTCCATCCAGTCATCGGAGAAGGTGACCAGCATCACCCTGCCCCTTACATCCACCTACCACATGGTGGAGTTTGAGCTAGAGGTCATGTGCCATATTCCCTCAATCCTCCCCAAGGCCACAGACAGTGACAGACTAACCAATGGAGAGCTTTACCAGAGAGCCAAAAGCAAGTGCAAGACTGAGAGCCACATGGCTTCCATTGATCAAAAGGTCTGAAACCCATCAAATACATCTTCATTTTTCCAATGTTTGTTTTCAAGTATCTTCAAAGCTGAGCCTAGATTAATTTATATTTTAGTTGTTTGTTTTAAACTTTATTATAAATTAAGATCATAAATAAATTAGATTGTTAATAAAATACCACCACACACCCACACAAATGTCCAAGAATTTGATGCTTGAATCTTTCATGTTTGATCTTAATATTTGTTACACCTATTCATAAGAATATCTTTACAGTATCAGCAATAATAATTTGCATGACCTTGTATACAAATTCTAATTAGCTACAAAGTATTTTGTATTGTGTCATTGTGGTTCAACTGTAGAATTTGTTTCCTGTCTGTAGATGTCCATTGATTGTCCTTGGTCTATTTACTCGACACTCGTTGCCTTGACATTCTACATCCCATTTAAAAGCCAACACTCCCTGCTTTCAGCTGGAAAGAGGTATTGTAAAAACTGTCTAAAAAATGGAACCACTAAAATGATTTGTCTGAAATTGTCATGGATGTTTTTTTTTGTTTTGTCAGGTAGCAGTTTAGTCCAGGGATGTCAAACTCATTTGCTATGGCATGCCAGATTTTTATTTAAATGTACTTCAGGCAAGCCATACTTTAAATACGATACGCTACATTATCAAAATAATAGGCACAGTCCATATTATTACTTATTTATAGTGTTTTGCATTTTTGGTATTTCTTTTACAATGAAATTACTTCCTTTGAAATGTAATTAGCAGACACCATGCCTTCAGTTGTTGACAATTCGGCAAAACATAATCATTATCCTTTGAGCATGCAATGTTTCTCAGCATTATTATTATTTTTAGCATTATTTGTTAAGGATTATTATAAATATAACCATTGTGATTATTATACAATATGTGAATCTGTGTTATGTTAGGATTTTAATTGGATTTCATTTTGAGAAATGAGAAGTTAATAAATACAGTTTCTATATTAGGACACCTTCTACCTTCCCCCTAAACTCCCTCCTCTATCCTACAAAATAATTTGTCTCTAAGAATCAGAATTGGTTGCTACAATCCAGTTAAACCCACTTTCTGCTTTTCTTTACTATTGCTATTGCATACATTATTTTACAGTAAAAAACTTACAATGCTGAATTGAAGTTCTATGCAGATGCAGCCATTCAAAATGCGCGGAGTACGCTGCGGTAAAATGCGGTAGGCGTGGCGTGTCACAGCGCGTCATACCGCAGTTATGATACTAGTATCCGGAATCACCTTGTAAAACCGCCAGGTTGAGCTAATAAAGCTTAATGTCTCATGTACAGCATTTGAACTGTTGCCAGAAAATCCCAGTCACTGCTGAGGGACAATCTTTTTCGAATTAAGAAATTGTATACTCTTTAGACTTTTAATCATTTTAAACTGTATATTACAGCATGTTAATCATTAAACATTAAAAAGTCAGTATATTTTATAAAAGCAAGATTGCTCAGTGGGACAAAAGTACACAACCTTCCACCTTCATCATAAATATTTTAATTATGTAGAAATATTTTATGCATCAAAGTCTTTAAGAAAGATATTACTAATAGTATTAATAATGAATTACCTTGGACAGGCTGTAAGCTCAAAGTATTACTGTGCTAGGAAAAACGCCATCAGCTGAGCATTTGTGTGTTGAAAGTCGTCTTTATTTCATATGCATACGGAAGTCTTGCTTGTGGCACAAGACTTCAAAACCAATGTTTACAGTGCTCCTTTATAAAGTGAAACAAACAATACAAGATACACTCCCACATGACTCTGTTTGCCTTATGGCTGTATATGGTCATTCTAAAAAGCTGACCATTATATTTATATTTTTTACTACCGGCTTGCGTGACAAGCAGCCCCTTCTGCTGAAAAGACCATTTGTTCCAGGAGAGGTCACTAGGTAATTTCCATGAGAACTATGTCAGCTGTGCATAAAGACATGTAGCTATGTTATCTTTTGAGATGAGATATCCTGAGATGGACTTAGTAAAATATAAGTACAAATATACATAGTTAACAAGATATAATACAAACCTTTAATAAGAACTTTTAGTTAATTCCCGTAGTCCCCCCTAAATATTGCAATTAGCCAATTGTTTTCCATCAGTATCCTGTGATTACTGATGAATTCTTTATGGGTGAATTTCGTAATTCTTTCTGGTGTCCTAAATGTGTGGTCAAGACTGAAGTAGTACCTTTAGTGCAGAGGGATCTAATACAAGTTAGTTTGACATAATGCTACTAGTACATATTGCATCAGCGTG